TTTCTCATCGTTCTACTGAAAGATGGCAGAATGTGCCCAAAATATGCCACTTTGGCATAAGGATTACTTTGAGCTAAAGGCACTTGAAAAATAGCAGATGCAAGAAGGCCATTTGAATTTCCTCTTTTCTTCCTGAAAACAGGAGATAAAAACTCCCATGTGAAAAATAGCTTTACTGTACCAAGAGGAAAGAAACATTACTCAATGCGGAGTCAAAGCCAAGTGAATTCTGTACAAACAACTTTGTTAAAATAATTATCTCCCTTTATCCTCCCCACATAATTTACTTTTCCCACAATTACCTCTCTTTGTTCAACCAAATGTAAAAGCATTTAGGTTTTGCCACTTCTTTGGGTCTTCATTTCCCTAACGAGCGCTCCACCCTCCACCCTCGAAGGGTCCCAGCTGGACCTGAGACTTAAATGGACGTAAAATAGATTAACAGGAGAAAAGCATTCAAATTTCATTTAAGTTTTACAGGACATGTCCCTTCGAGGGTGGAGGGAAGGTTTTGTCTCCCCTGCAGTATACACAACTTTGTGTAGTCCTCAACTATTTTCCTTAACAGAAATCCCTGGAAAGAAGGAGACTGTTATCCAACTACCCTGCCAGGCCCTGTGCTAGGTACTGGGTAAATCTATCTCACTTAATCTTGATGCCAGGATTAGGCCTCATTTTGTTGACTTGGAGACTGAAGCGTGGAGGTGTGTCAGTAGCTCTGCCAGTATCATACAGGTTTCTAATGTTAGTTCATCTGATCCAAAAGCCCTTACTTTTTCAAGGGCTTTTTTGTTTGCTGTGAATCAGTATACAGTTAAAAGCCCAGTCTCTGGAGGCAGATTGGCTGTGTTCAGATCCCAGACCTACCACTTACTTGCCGTAGACCCTCAAAACTTAACAATTTTCTCCTGTGCCCGTTTGTGAGAAGAGAAACATAATAAATGCACATGCCTCATAGGTTTGTTGTGGGGATTAAATGAAGTCATACCTGTAAACTACCTGGAATAAGGTCTGACCCACCGTTCACTTTGTCTAGTAGTCCCCCCTTATCTGTGGAGGATGTGTTGCAAGACCCTCAGTGGATGCCTGAAATCGTGGACACACAATTAGGTACATTGTGTACCCTAAGTACACAATGTTCTCCCCTATACATAGATACATACTGTATTAGGCAGGGTTCTCTAGAGGGACAGAATTAATAGGATAGATGTATGTATAAAGGGGAGTTTATTAAGGAGTATTGACTCACATGATCACAGGGTGAAGCCCCAACAAGAGGCTGTCTGCAAGCTGAGGAGCAAGGAAGCCAGTCCGAGTCCCAAAACCTCAAAAATAGGGAGTCCAACAGTGCAGCCTTCAGTCTGTGGCTGAAGACCCTTGAGCCCCTGGCAAACCACTAGTGTAAGTCCAAGAATCCAAAAGCCAAAGAACTTGGAGTCTGATGTTCAAGGGCAGGAGGCATCCAGCATGGGAGAAAGATGAAGACCAGAAGACTCAGCAAGTCAAGTCCTTCCACGTTCTTCTGCCTGCTTTATTCTAGCCGCGCTGGCAGCTGATTAGGTGGTGCCCACCCAGATTGAGGGTGGGTCTGCCTCTCCCAGTCCACTGACTCAAATGTTAATCTCCTTTGACAACACCCTCACAGACACACCCAGGCATAATACTTTGCTTCCTTCAATCCAATCAAGTTGACACTCAACATTAATCGTTACATGAACCTATGATAAAATTTAATTTAGGCCAGGAGCGGTGGCTCACGCCTGTAATCCTAGCACTTTGGGAGGCTGAGGGATGGATCACTTGAGGTCAGGAGTTCGAGACCAGCCTGGCTAAAATGGTGAAACCCCATCTCTATTAAAAATACAAAAAAATTAGCTAGGCATGGTGGTACACACCTGTAATCCTAGCTACTCAGGAGGCTGAGATGGGAGGATCTCTTGAACGTGGGAAGCGGAGGTTGCACTGAGCCAAGATCTGCACTCCAGTGCAGTGGCATAAGAGTGCGACTCCATCTCAAAAAAAAAAAAAAAAAAAAGTTTCATTTATAAATTAGTCACAGTAGAGATTAACAATAATTAATGAGAAACAAAAATGAAACCTTAAGCCCTCCAGCTGACTGAACAGACCCCTTCTTGACCAAGGGGACCCCAGAATAACCTTGGAAACCCTCTCCCGCTCTAAATGCCATTCGGCTTTCTTCCCTAAGCGCTAAACAGAAATCAGCCCTTCAAGACTCCACCGCTGGTATCAACCAGCCACCTGATGCTGCCCCTCCCTTTTGGAGTTTTGGCACAACTGCCCAGCAGTTCTTCCTGGTAAAAGACTACCAACCATGGAGTAGTTAGGGCCAGTCTATGGAAGACATGCAGTCAGGGTTTTCATGTCCTCTGCTTCACCTTCTGATACCAGAGGGTCCGAAAACTCCTACCCTGGATCATGCTAACACTGCCAGTTTTGGAATATGGGTCCCATGGAGAGCCATGAAGTGCAGTTGCGCATGTGCACGTTTCTCCTTGCGTAAATATTCATGACTCCTCCTATAGCTTATTAAATATGTATACTTGGCCACCCCACTCTGCATAGATTCGTGCTCCCTTTGCCCCTCCGTTGAAGTGTCTGTTTCTGGCTTCTAGCATGAGGTTTTGCTTCCCAGGCTGTTGGAATGGCCACCCCGCAGACTGCAACCTTCTATGAGAAATAAAGCTCTTTCCAAATTTATGAACCTCATCATCCTTCAGTTGACACTAACAATAAAGTAGAACAAATATAATATAGTGTAATAAGTTATATTGTGATTTCTCTCTGAAAATATCTTAATATTTTCAGACTGTTGACTGCAGGTAACTGAAACCAAAGAAAGTGAAACTGCAGACATGGAGATGGAGCAGCAACTACTATATAATCATTGACTGTTGTCGTTTATATTATTGTTACTAATGTTAGTATTGTTTTCACCAGTTTCTCCCCAAACATCCATAGCTTCCAGTATTAATCCAAGGTGGAATGTGGGTCTTCTTCTCCATGCAGAAGAATGTGGGACTTCTCCATGCAGGGCCTAAACTTCATTCTAATACTAATGCTAATACTAATACTAATACTAATTCTAATACTAATTCTAATACTCTTATTTTATGTGTGCGTTTTCTCACCTGCATTCCTCTGGACAGAGCGTAGAGAGATGTTTTCAGACTTACAAACTGGCATCTTTTCTCCTCTATTTTGAGTAATGACAGTCTGCTGTCTAGGTAAGAGTGCTGCTGGAGGACACTGCTGATTTTCACAGTCACGGGGGTAGCCTGATTGGTGGACTGCTTGGTGACGTAAGTGAATACCTTAGCAAGAAACAGCATTGAAAAACCAGCCCAATTGTTGACAAGAGCTTTTATTTAATTTTCCACTTTCCCCTTATATCTTGGTCACCGAACTTTTTGGACTCAAGGTAGACCATCCACATCCTGTGGTAGGGACCTTTTGCAGAATTCTAGATGGCAGGAAGCTTTTATGAACCTAAGTCCAAATTTTAATTTGCAAGGAAACTGAAGCAGATGAATTTTCTCATTGTAAAAAAATGAATACCTTGATAATATATTTGTTTTTCGTAGTAGGCCTTTGTCATTAAGCTTGATGCCTGAGGATATAGTTGTATCTTGTGTGGAACAGTAAGTTATTACTCACTGCGTATCAGATTTTAGCACACTTGCATTAGTTCATGGAATATGATTTTACATTTACTATAGCAGTTCCAGTGCCATTATCAGATTGCATTTTCCTACTGAATTACAAATGTGTTATGCTACTAACATTTAACAAAATTTTAATAAGGTTGTGTTTGATGCTATTATTCAGATAATGTGTTCTAAATTGCTTTCCTTTGAATATATTTGCATTAAAGAGGAACTCGATTTGGTTCTTTGAAGAGTTTATCCACTTTCTGGGTAGCTTTAAAAAGACACAGGGAAATTCAGTTTCTTCTTTGCAAGTCAATAAATAGAGAAGAAACAAATTTGCTAAGATCTATAGAAGTAATGGCAGCAGATTGCTGATGGTTTGAGTTAATGAAATGACTCATTTTGGCTACTTGAGTTGCACAATTAAAATATACATAGACTGCACACATCATAGATGAGGGATAAATACCCCTGTGTTCTCTTTTCTTTCTCAAAGCTAATATATTATGAATTAAGAAATTTAAGAGATCCACGTTATTGCAATTCTTGATCAGTGATGCCCAAAATTAAGTGGTAATCTCTTGAGAGTGCACGTTTGCAGCATTCCTCTTACGCATTTCTGCTAAAATTGTGGCTGTGAGCCGAAGGCAGTTGTTTTCCAAAGGATAAACTCGTTTGACCAAGCTAAAACATTTACTTAATATTGACAAGTTTTGTGTGGTTTTCTCATAGTTGTCTAGCTAAAGGAGTTTAATGCAGAAAATACACATACGGAAATAGTGAAACCGAAGTCCTGCTTGCGCGGAAAGCCTGCAGCAGACTTTTGTTTTTAACAAACTCCACGGGGCATTAGAGAAAGTAACTGGGGGCAGTGGGTTGGAGGGTATGAAATTGAGCGGAGGGACGAAAACTAAGAGCCCTCTGGGTTTTTTATATCCTTCTACATGTTGTGTAGAAATAAATGCTTTTACTTCCACGGTCGTACCTTCCTCTTCACCTTTTTTTTTTTTTCTTTCTCACACATTCATCCTGTGAGATCTTTCCATTTACAGATGCTCCCGATTTAGAATTAGAAACTCATAATACCGTCTGTAAAACTTGCCTGAGCCTGTCTGGTCCTGAATTTAGCGACACACTTCTTTAGGAGTTTCGGTTCTCGTTCTCTGCTTGCATGGTTTAGTAAGAACAACACTTCGCTATACTGAAATTCACCGACCAGACCTGCAGGGCTGCACAGAAATCTCTGATGCTTTTGGTACCCGCAGCCCCGCAGCCGCGCAGGCGCACCGCCCAGGCGCACCGCCCAGCCGCCGTGACGCAAGGCGCAGGCTTCATGACGCAGCACGCAGTCTCAGCCGACACTGCGCGCCCCTTCTGGGGCCCCGCCCACGCAGCGGCCTTAGCGGGTCGCCGACCCACGATCCCCGCCGCGGCTGCTTGCTTGCCGGAGTGTGCACCGGTACCCGTCGCCGGTGACATGTTGCAAAAACCGAGGAACCGGGGTCGCTCTGGCGGCCAGGCCGAGAGGGACAGCGACTGGAGCCGTGGCGGAAACTCCGGGGCCTCGCGGGCGGGCGAAGACGCCCGGGCCCCCAGAGACCGCTTAGCGGAGGAGGCCCCGAGCACTTCCCGGGGGCCGGGCGGCTCGCAGTGGTCGCAGGGCCCCTCGTCGCAGGGCGCCCGCCGGTCCCAGGGCGCCCCCGCCGTGGGCCCCAGGACCCAGAAGCAGCAGGAGCTGAAAGTGTCCGAGCTGGTGCAGTTCTTGCTGATTAAGGACCAGAAGAAGATTCCCATCAAGCGGGCCGACATACTGAAGCACGTCATCGGGGACTACAGGGACATCTTCCCCGACCTCCTCAAACGGGCCGCCGAGCGCCTCCAGTACGTCTTCGGGTATAAGCTGGTGGAACTTGAACCCAAGAGCAACACGTACATCCTCATCAACACGCTGGAGCCGGTGGAGGAGGATGCCGAGGTGAGGGGTGACCAAGGCACGCCCACTACGGGCCTCCTGATGATCGTGCTGGGGCTCATCTTTATGAAGGGCAACACCGTCAAGGAGACTGAAGTCTGGGACTTTCTGCGGCGCTTAGGGGTCTACCCCACCAAGAAGCATTTCATTTTCGGAGATCCAAAGAAACTCATTACTGAGGACTTTGTGCGACAACGTTACCTGGAATACCGGCGGATACCCCACACCGACCCCGTGGACTACGAGTTCCAGTGGGGCCCGCGAACCAACCTGGAAACCAGCAAGATGAAAGTTCTTAAGTTTGTGGCCAAAGTCCATAATCAAGACCCCAAGGACTGGCCAGCGCAGTACTGTGAGGCGTTGGCAGATGAGGAGAACAGGGCCAGACCTCAGCCCAGTGGCTCAGCCCCATCCTCTTAAAATCTGAGGTGGATTCAGAGGGACCCCCGGGACAAGGGTCTGAGACCCAAAGGCACAGTGCAGAGGAGCGGGGGAAGGGAGAACGAACCCAGGAAGCGTATTTCTGTAGCGTTTCAATGTGTGTAGCTTTAGGATGTGTTTGCAAAGTTTTGTTCTTTTAATGTTGTGTTATTTGGTTCCAGATTTTCATCTATAAACAAAGGAGCATTTGTTTTGCTTTGATTTTACTTTTTTTGGTATAAAAAATTTTCCTAGCTTAGTAAAACGAATTGGAAAACTTGACTATGATCTGAAACAGATATGCCAGAAGGAACACATAAGTAAGTTGCTTTGGTGCCAAGAAAATAAAAAAGTAGCTATTATCGGGTCTCTTAAGCATCCCAGTTTGTAAGGAAAAATAAAAGTCTTTATAAAATTAAAAATAAAAACGTAATTGCCTATATCCTTATTACCTTAACCTGTTTTATTTTTTCTATATTTCCTACATATATAAGTATTATTCATGGTTCCAAGCAATGAACGTGGTGTATTTTCTCCAAATAGCAATTGTTTATATTCATAATTACTCAGCTCTGTTGCTAAACATGCAGTTCCACTTAGTTTTTTTTTACATGCTACTCTAGTTATTACAATAAATACTGTATTTTTGAAGCACTGAAGCATTGTGTGTTTTTTAAATCGTGGGCCATGAGACAATTTCATGACGAAATCAGCGTCTTAAAGTTTTTGCTACATATTGAGGTCAATGTTGTTTTGTAGAAGTTGTTTCACTTTTGTGTGTGTGTGTACAGGATCATGAGGTAAAATATATTTCTACTGTGGATACCAAAAAGGCTTATAAAACAATAGCGTAACCATTAACCATGCCTGCTTGGGAATCAGACTGCCTGGGTTCAGATCCTGGCCCCACCATCACTAGTACAGGAATTTACGTAGGTTCCTTAGTTTGTATGCAGATGTTTCTTGACCTGTAAAATGAGTTTAGTCCCTGATGTGGAGGAATTTGCTTGTTATTCTTTAATGTTTTTATTTTTTATTCTCGGTCTGGAGCTGCCACTTTTTAAATACAACTTTTCTTTATCTTGTTTTCCAAATGATTCCTAGGAGAGCAATTACTGGTTCAAAAGGTATATTCCACTAGTCTGACTCTATTGTATGGGGAAATAAGTATAAAGTGTATGGTGAGTATAGCCCACATAGAACAGTAAGAGCAGGACATAAGATCTACCTCGTAGGGAGTTAGGTATAGGGAAAAGGGTGTGGGTCTTGGGGCTGTCTGGCAAACTGAATTTGAATTATGGCTCATGCTAACTTGTCAGCATGGTGATATGGTGGTAGGTTTTAAGCTGTCTGAATCTCAGTTTCTTTATCTGTAAAATGAGAAAAATTATAGCTATATAATAGTTTGTTTTATGGACTAGATGAACTAGAAGAGTTCATAGTCCCATTGTATTCTTCCATTACGTGTAGCAGATGCTGTTTTTAATGCAGAGATTCAACACGTTTTATGCAGTGGGTAAATAAGTATAATTGTTTTAGGGGGAGGTGCTGCAAATTAACCTTGAAATAAGGCAGATATTTTTCACTCGGGGGGAAAAAGTGAACTTCATCAACACTGGACTGAATGTCATTTTAAAAGAGTCTATAGTGAGTATGGAGGAATGTGATAGGTTACTGGGTTTTATTTCATTCTGTTGAATTGGGATTTGCCTTGTTTCATCAGTGGAAGATGTTTGGTCCTTATAGGCATTTCTTCTTGATCTGCATTTTATTTCAGTGTATAAATTGCTTCCTGCCTCCTGGTCCCCTTACCTCCCTGACTCAGCTTTCTCCTCCTCGTGCCCTCTGATACTCACATTCTCACCTGTATAATAAAAATTGTTACCCTGCAGTCACCACCGGTTATATCTGAGGCAAAATTCCCTCCGCTTTTCTCAGCGGTGTTAACAATTTACCATCGATAATGTTGTTTCAAATTTTAAAATATGAAACATAAGAGGCCACATCAAGGCCTTATATCTTTTCCTTCTCACCCTCCCCAGAGATAACAAAAGTCTGCGGCTATCAGGCTGTTGTATGACTGTAGAATTTTACTACACATGTATAGATACATAACCAATATAGAGTTTTATTTTGTGGGCTTTCATGATTTATATAAATGGTATTACGTGTGTCCTTATGCAACTTGCTGTTCTCACTCACCATTATGTATTTGAGATTCAGCCATGTGGATATTTGTAGACCTGATTCACTCATTTTAATTGTTCTTTTATGGGGGAAAAATAACTTTATTCATTCCTTAATGGCTAGACAGTTAAGGTCTTTCCAGTTCTTTGAGATTTGCAGGCATTGTACAGTACTTCTTTAGGCACATGTGTGAGTTTCTCCAGCCAGAAACAAATGGAGCAATCAGGGACCATTGCCAAACTGTTCTTGAGCTTGTGTCAAGTTACACTCCTACCAACATTTTACACAGTTTTGTTTTGTTTTTGTTGCCAATCCCTCAACCTTCACCCACTGTGAACACTTGGCCTTTTCAGTATCTTTTCAGCCATTTTGGTGTAGTGTGAAATAATCATTTATTACGGTATTAACTTGTACCTGTTGCTTACTAGTGATGTTAAGTATCTGCCTATCTTTTACTCTCACTCTTTTTGACTGTCAGGTTTCATGTCTTAGACACATTTCTATTGATTTGTAAGACATCTTTATATGTTCTACATGTTAATCCATGGTCTGCTCTATCTATCTAGTGCAAATACCTTCTCCCACATTTTCACTTCTTTTGGTCATACAGATCATTTGAGCTTAATGTGTAGCAATCATCAGTGTTTATAAGCGCTACATCTGTGTATAGTGCTTTAAAAAATTCCCCTAATCCTAAAATTGTAAAGATGTTTTCTGCATTTTTTCCCTAAGTTCAAAGTTTTGATCTGCACATTTTATGCCTTTAATCTGCTTTTGTGTATGATGTGAGGCATGGAAATAGTTTTTGTGTTTTTTCCTATATGGATAGCCTAGCACCAATTTTTCATCATTTATTCTTTTCACACTGATTTATGACACTCAGTATTCTATAGCAATGTCCCATCTATAGATAAGTTTATGGATAGGACTGAATTGGTTTCTTTGCTATCCATCTGCAAATACCGTACTATAATTCTTAATTCTTTTTTTTTTTTTTTTTTTTTTTTGAGACAGATTCTCACTCTTGTCGCCCATGCTGGAGTGCAGTGACTCTATCTTGGCTCACTGCAATCACTGCCTCCCGGATTCAAGCAATTCTCCTGCCTCAGCCTCCTGAGTACTGGGATTACAGGCGCCTGCCACCACACGCGGCTAATTTTTGTACTTTTAGTAGAGACAGGATTTTGCCGTGTTGGCCAGGGTGGTCTGGAACCTGACCTTAGGTGATCCGCCCGCCTCGGCCTCCTAAAGTGCTGGGATTACAGGCATGAGCCACCATGCCCAGCTTATAATTCTTTAGCATCATATGTGTCTTCTTTTTTGATTCTTAAAGCCTTTTAGTCTTTTTTGCATTGGCTGAAAGTGCAATATCTTATTGAAAAGAAGGAGTTACAGCAGGCTGTAAAGATGTTTCTGATTCCTTATTCTTGATTTTAAAGGAAATAATGTTTAACTTTTGCCATAGAGTGTGATGTTTGCTGTTAGAGTTTTTTTCCCCTATAAATACCTTTTACTGAGCTATTTATTTACCCCTTCAGTCCTAGCTTGCTTAGAGATGTTTAGAAAAACTACGAATGAGCTCTTTATTCACCTGCTAATATGATTAAAATTTCTTATTTACTCTGTGAATTTGTTTTTTGGGCATGTAATTTGGTATAATAACACATAGAGTTTTCTGATATCTAAACATTCTTGCATTTTGGAGCCAAACACTTGTTGATAAAATTTTTAAATACATATAGCTCAAAATATATAATTTTGCATCTTTTGACATAAGGGGGTTTAGTCTTTAATTTTCATATATTATCATTATTTTTGAGGTTATGCTAATTTACTTAGAGATAACCTTAAATTTACAGAAAAGTTGCAAGCCCAATGCAAAATAATTTGTTCCCTGAACTATTTAGTTATGATTCTTTAGTCTCCTTCCTATTGCCAATATTTCCTCAGTCTTTCCTTGACCATCATGCCCTTCACTTGAAGAATACAGGCCTGTTTTCTGTAGCACATCTTTCAGCTGGGGTTTGTCTGCTGTTTCTTCATGATCGGATTTGAATTATGCATCTTTGGGAAGAATATCACAGAAGCAATGCTGTGTTATTTTTGGATCCTATCAGGTGGCACAAAATTTCAATTTGTCCTGTTATTTTGAAACTTAGATCACTTTGGTTAAGGTGTCATGTGCCTCCACTGCGAAGTTTTCTCCTTTAAGGTAAATAACTTGGGGGGAGATACTTTGAGACTTTGTGTAGACCCATGGGTCTCTTACCATTAACTTATTATCTAATCTTTTATTATCATTACATATTCCGATACTCAAATTGTCCCTGATTTGGCCAGTGGGAGCCCCTTAAAGCTGGCTTTTGCATCTTTAACATGCCCCCAACATCATTTATTGAGCATTTCCTTAATTGATAGCACCAAAAGAGAGGGAGTTCTTTTTTTTTTTTTAGACGGAGTCCCGCTCGGATTGGTGCGACCTCGGCTCACTGCAATCTCCGCCTCCTGGGTTCAAGCGATTCTCCTGCCTCAGCCTCCAGAGTAGCTGGGACTACAGGTGCCCACCACCACACCCAGCTAATTTTTTGTGTTTTTAGTAGAGATGGGGATTTCACCGTGTTAGCCAGGATGGTCTCCATCTCCTGACCTCGTGATCCGCCCACTTCGGTCTCCCAAAGTGCTGGGATTATAGGCGTGAGCCACGGCGCTTGGCCAGGAGTTCAGTCTTAACTCTCCCTGCCCTAGACCTGGAATTAATCCTTTCCCTAAAGAGCTCTGGTTTCTTTTTGTGGAGAATGGAATTGAGAAACAAAGTTGCATTTTTAGTAGAGACAGGGTTTCACCACCTGACCATGATGGTCTCTATCTCTTGGCCTCGTGATCCTCCCGCCTCGGCCTCCCAAAGTGCTGGGATTACAGGTGTGAGGTGGCCTGTGCCTGTAGTCCCAGCTACTTGGGAGGCCGAGGCAGGAAAATCCCTTAAACCTAGGAGGTGGAGGTTGCAGTGAGCCGAGATTGTGCCACTGCCCTCCAGCCTGGTGACAGAGCAAGACTCAAAACTTTGGGAGGCCGAGACGGGCGGATCACGAGGTCAGGAGATCGAGACCATCCTGGCTAACATGGTGAAACCCCGTCTCTACTAAAAATACAAGAAAATTAGCCGGGCGAGGTGGCGGGCGCCTGTAGTCCCAGCTACTCGGGAGGCTGAGGCAGGAGAATGGCGTGAACCCGGG